TGGTCGCAGTCGCTGGGGCAGGGGCGTTAGCTCTCCCTTTTGCAGGATTAGTTTCATTGCCAAAGAATTTTAATTTCGTTTTCTGGGGGCAGAAAGCGCTTGAATGCCCAGCTGCACCGGTGCGAACAGCAGGCTCCAAGCACAGGGCTGTCACCGGGGATTAGTCACGTCCGTAGCCACGGGACACCCGGGGAGCAGAACAAATCCCACACCCTGTGCTTCGCAGGCTCTTTTCGCCATCGACCGTTTCCTTCCCTACGGAATGCAAAACTGCATGGAAACACAGGCTTCCCGCGGCGCTCCGCACTCCTCGAGGAGCAGAGGCTCTTGGAGCACCCGAAGGTGCAGCGCGAGCAGCAGCAGCGTCTCCCGCCCCGAGGCTAAGGGCACCTTCAATATTTACATTGCCCCCACACCCAGGGGCCCCATCAGGACTAAGGTCCACGGCGCTGGGTGCGCTAAAAACACATGATAAGAGCCGATACCTCCCCGCGGAGCGCAGTGGGACGGGCCACAGCTCCTGGACGCTCCCGCTCTCTGCCATCTCATTTATTTTAAGGATGGCACCGACTAACATCCAGGTTTTGCCTTTCCGAGCCCCGAGAATAGAAGGCAGGAGGTGGCTGCGCGTAACCTCCCTTCCCGGCCGGCAGGAAGGGCCGGGCGCAGCGGCCGCGCGAGCGTCGGAGCCTCCGACCCGGGGCGGGTTCCTCGTGCGGAGCCACAAAGGGCTCTGCCAGCGGGTTATTCCCATGCCCCTATATGATCACTGAGAGGTAATTCTACCAAAGCAGCAAGCAGCCACAGGGCAATAACCGCTCGCGTTTCCGAGCTCTTAAAAGCCCCTGCAGAGCTACCCCCTCTGCAAATTCTCTGTTGCAGGAAGGGGCAAGCGGGTCATTCCCGCTCTCCCTGCATCCCTGGCAAGGAGGCAAGCACAGCCCCTTGTGTGGCCTTGGACAACACGTGGAGAGCCCCGGCCGCTGCGCTGGCGTCGCCTGCTGCAAAAGGAAGTTAAAACAAACGCAGATTTATGAAAGAAAGCCCGTTTCGGCGCCAGGGATGGATTTCCTGGCTCGCGGCTCCTACTGAAGAGCAGCGATTTCACGTTAGCGAGGGGGAATCCCGGCCGGCGCTGCCCGGTGCCGAAACGCTGCGTTCTAAAGATAGCACGGGAGAGCTGGAGCAAAAACAACGGGAACAACAAAACCCAAAGCCGGCCCGTCGTTCACTCGCCTTTCCTGAGAATCAGAATGTGAAACTCGGTGCCGGGGCTGATTCAGAAAGGAAAGGGCTCTGCGGGACGAGCCGCTCCCTGCTTCACGCAGACGCTCTCTGTTTGCGTCTCGCCTCTGTTTCAGGCTACTAAAACTTGCTGCTGTAAATGGGCTGAATTCCTCACGTCCGCGTGTCCTAGAATGCTTTTGTCACTCCTTAGGTCATTTTTCCCATGCTCCTGCGGATTCATCCCCATGGGGAGCCACTGGATTCACCTCTTCTAGCAGGTGGAGAAAGCCAAGTTCATGGGAATTTCTAGTGTTTTTCCTCTGGAAAGAAAGTTTCCCAGGGAGTTCCTGCCCGATGGCAGGGCCGTGCAGCGGGCGCTGGGTCAGCTCCTGGTCACGCTGCTCTTGCAGGGCTCGAGTTACAGGCGGATCCGCCAGTTCCTTCCCGGCAAGTCGCTAAGGGGGCACCTTGGCCGGCAATGGCCAGCATTGCTTCTCCCTGATTTTTAGCATTCTTGCTAAAAATCCTTCCATAAAACCCAGCAACTCACTGTGAAAATGGCAATCAGGAAGAGCTACCAAAGCCCTCCTGGAAGGAAGGTCATTCCCCTGCGGCTGAACAAATGCAGCTCCCGTCACTGCCACCTGGCCTCACGGAGGGGCAGCGAAAGGGAAGGGAGCCCCAGAAGGCAGGAAAACTCCTGGCTTGTCCCTGTCCCACAGCCGGGATTTCCTGGGGATGGATTGAGGGGAAAGGGAGAGAAGCCAAGAGCTGTCAGACAGGATCACCCCAGACCCAGCACCGGGATATGTCCATCCATCCCCTGACATGGAAATTACTGTCCCTTCCGCATGTGCAGGAGCCACCTCGGTGCGAGGGGAGCTGGGGACACGTCTGCTGTCCCCGTGCCAGCGCTCGGGCAGCATCAGCCTCTGAATCCAGCATTAGCCTAATGGTATTAGAGGGCATCACCTCTGAGCAGCGCGGGCTATTTGTGCACAGAGTCACCCTCTGCCCTGCGAAGGGCAAAGGAGAAACACGAACGAAAGATGGGCCAAAAAATAAATAAAATTAAATTTTAAAAAGAGGCTCTGCAGGTCCCGCATGTGTCCAAGGAGGCGCCGAGCGGAGCGGTCCGGCCTCTGGAGCAGAGAGCTCCGCGGGTCTAAAAACTGCAGAAACTGCAGAGATGCATAAACCACATTTCCACCCTTGTCCCCTTGCAAGGAAGACAGTTTCATAACCAAAGCAGCAAATTCCCTGCCCAGGAATCCTTAACGGGAGCGGGCGACGGCAGAAGGAGCCTCCGTGTCCTGGGCCGCGGCCAAGGCGGAGGGCAGGAGCGAAAGGTTAAGCCAAGTTCAGCGAGCGGATCCGGCGTCTCAGCGCCGCTTACGGCAAAGCCGCGGCGCGCGCAAGGGCGAGCGCGGGGCAGAAGGCTCCAGAAGGCTGTGAAAACTGCAGGCTCCTATAAATGCATCCGTGGTTTGCTTGAACGTTCCTGAAATCCGTCGCTCGCGATATCGCGAGCAAAGATGATCCAGGAGAGGCAACAGCAACCGGGGTGAAAACCGGAGCCGCTCTGACCGACTAAGCAAGAGCTCGTGGGAAATGAGCAGGGAATTTGCTTCCATGCTGGTGTTTACCGCCACGCTCCCTTCCCGAGTCCTTCACGCTCCCGAAGGTGTTTTCCTCCTCAAGAGCACCGGCCCTTGCTGCTGTTGCTTAAGATTCTTCTGCAAAAGGGTCTCCGTTCTGGTGCGTCTGGGCATGGTTTGTCCCGGCGGGCAAAGCCAAAGAGATCCTCTAAGTGTGTAGCATGGAAATTGCACTGCATTTAAATAGCGGGGCTTGCTTTTTCTGCAAAGAAAAGCATAAAAACGCCTTGAAAACAGGCCCAATTCCCATCATCACAGTTGCTTAACTCCTTTCCCTGCCTCCCAGCTCCTAAAACCAACCCACGTGGCTGCAGGAGGCCTGGGCTACATTTGTGCACAGGAGCTGCTGAACTGCAGAGCCCAAATTTGGGGAATTTAGGGGATTTTGAGGCTAGATCTGGGAACCTCCGAGGAGCTGCTCTCACAGCCGATAGGATGGGTCACAGCCTGAAGCACCTGGCTGTGGGCAATGAGCTCCGGTGCAATGTTCCTGCCAGGGATTTTGCTGCTGTCTCCAGTACAAAGTCCTATTTTCAGCAGCCCGTTGCTTAAACGGCCGAGCCGGAACGGGACGCGCAGGGCTGCTGAGGCACACACATATCCACAGGGTGTCACTTTGCAGCGACTTTAGGTCAGCAAAGTTATTTTTGGCAGACACGAATCCTTCTCGCTCAGGACATTGCATTATCTATTTTTTGGCACGAGACGCATTTTAGGTTCTTGCTTTTAGGTACCACATGGCCAGTCCCTATTCCTCCAGGCTGCTTCCGAGGAAGTTTTAATAAGCAGAGAAGTTCCAGCAAGAGGACAACACATCCAGGAAAACAGATCCTGTTGGTAGAAGGTATCGGAGCTGCTCCCTCCTCTGCAGGTTCAGGATCTTTTATATCACTTGAATGAAGGCAAATAACCCTTGTATGCCTAGGAAAGGGCAATTTGGGTGCTCCCATGCACCAGGATGGCAAGTCCGCCCTTCCAACGGGATCAGCAATAGCTCCACAACAGCCACCTCTAAGGAGGGACCTGATCCCTGTGTTTTCCTTCCAGACCTAAACACCTGGATTTGATTCCCCCAAAGTCCTGAGCATCCACAGCCCCCAAAAGACAGGACAGTCCTCAGAAGCTCACTGTGGAACTGTGCCCGCAGGGAGGACCATGTGCAAAGAGGATTTGCTTCATTCCAGGATAGCAGGGCAGGAATCCTGGGCACCAAAAGCACCTCTCGCTTTCTCCGCGGTGCCGGGGACACGGAGCTCGCGTGGCCGGGACCGCGCGCCCGCGCGGGGGTCAGGAGATCCG